TTAAATGATGAATTATTTTACACAACTCTCTCTCTCTCTCTCTCTCTCTCTCACGTTTTGTGTGAAACTGTTTGCTTAATAGGTATGACAGTGTCTGTGGAAGAGGATCTGGTAGTGATCGCCCGCATACTGGCCGGCAGTCTCATCGACCGACAGGGTTTGCTACACGTGGGCGACGCTATACTGGAGGCCAACGGCGTGGAGATAACGAGTCCGGAACAGCTTCAGGACGAACTCCGCCGATGCAAAGGTGGCATCACTTTGAAGGTCTCGCCCTCGAGTCGAGACATCGCTCAGCCGTCCGTTTGCTATATGCGAGCGCTGTATGGCTACGACCCGACCGAAGACAGTCTACTGCCGTGTCGTGAAGTGGGTCTGGCCTTCAAACAGGGAGACATTCTCGAGATCGTCAACACTGAGGACCCCAACTGGTGGCAGGCGAGGAGTGTCGACGCGCCCAACACTCACGCCGGACTCATCCCCTCCCAGGAGTTGGAGGAGAGGCGCCGCGCGTTTGTGCGCCCGGAGTTTGATTACGCGACCCGAACCTCCATTTGCGGCACTAAAATCACCAAAAAGAAGAAGAAAGAGATGTATCAGCTCCAGGTCTGGCCACACATTCTCTCTCTCTCCCTTTTCCTCTGACCCCCTATTGCGCTCACTATTGATCTCTTTTTACATTTTATTCAAATATCAATTTAAACATTTTAAACACATTTTCTTTTTTTGTTATCTCTTATGTAAACATTTGTTTTCAAATATCAATTGAATTGAATGTGTTTTCATACAAACTAAACAATTATAACCTTTTATATAGAGTTATGAATAGAAATATTTATAGAGACCATTGCATACATCCTGTGCTCTCTCTCTCTCTCTCTCTCTCTCTCTCTCTCTCTCTCTCCGTGTGTTTGCATTGATAACCAATACAATTGAATAACACGTTTGCATTGAATTGTAGGCCAACGCGGACTTCGATAAGGCAGAGCTGTTGCTGTACGAAGAGGTGTGTCGGACGCCGCCGTTTGAGCGCAAAACACTGGTTCTGGTGGGCGCTCAGGGCGTCGGTCGCCGTACACTCAAGTCTCGTATGATAGCTTACGATACGGAACGGTTCGCCACACCTCTGCCCCACACCTCCCGTCCCATCCGTGAGGGAGAACAGGACGGAAAGCAATACCATTTCGTGCGCAGAGATATCATGGAAGCGGAGATCGCAGACAATAAATACCTAGAGTTCGGCGAATTCCAGGACCACCTCTACGGCACCCGATTGGACTCAATTCGCGCCATCATTAGATCCGGAAGAATGTGTGTCATTGACTGCAATCCACAGGTATTTTTCGTGCATTATTTCATTGTATATTTGTTTATTGAAAATATGTTTTATATTTATTTTGTATCTATTGTTCAAATAGAGTCTGAAAATGTTAAAGACGGCAGAGTTTATGCCATACATAGTGTTTTTGGCGGCACCACCTCTGGATCAGTTGCGTTATATGCATGAGTACGGCCGCCATCAAGGACTCGGAGGCTCTCGTTATCAAACGGTTCGCACTTTTGTCTCATTATTTCTAATATCTAATAACTAATGCCAATTGTATTGAACCAACAGTTTGACAGAGCGCTGGGCCGTCACAGTTCCCGACGGGTGCGGACTCTGCAGAGTTTGGCCTCGTTTTACGAGGACGAAGACCTACAGGTGACCGTCGAAGAGAGCGCTCGACTCCAACGCGCTTACGATAAATACTTCGATCAAATCATCGTTAATAACAATTTTGAGAAAACGTTTGAACAGTTGAGGGATGCGGTCGACTCACTCACTATACAGCACCAGTGGGTGCCTATCGATTGGGTCTATAGTGATGACTGAGTGGACACATCTGTATATCCGGTGTTTATCTCACAATTAAATCGTTTTTTAGGATTTATTTGTGAAATATAGCGAAATAATGAGAACTTCATTCCCATTACATTCCCAATTGATTTATAGTATTAATTGCAAAACACAAACAAATCATTGACAACAATAACATTCCCTATTGAATACATTATTTACAATTTTAATCGATTAATCAAAGCAATAATTGTATTGCTTTTTAATAATTTATAAGATCTTAATTAACTTTCCAAACAATTTATATTTCACTTTTAACGATGACTTACGATCTGAATTAGCCTTTAATCCAATGACTTTATTATTCACTTATTATAGTGATAGTGGTTTCGGTGGCACTTAAACACACTGTTAGCTATACTGTAAATCTCTTTTATTAATTGTATTGATTACCAAAACCGTCCAAAGACTGCAATATTATGAAACAAATTGAATGCCTTAAACGTTGTAATTATTAGCATTTTATATCTCTAAGATTTATATCACTGTTTTCTAATCTCTTATTACTTGACATTTATGTTATTTTCTTAACAAAACTTTTTATTATTTTTTGTTGATTTTTATTCTCAAATTTGAGTATTTTATAAATATTTATGATTTATTTGATAAATATTTTGTATGACTTTCAATATAGTCCGTCCTTTTTATATACAATATAATTCATTTTGAAAATTATTTTTACTTTTTTTGAAGAATATTTTATTGTAAATTAATTTACTGATGAAAATTCACTGTATTTTCTGCCAATTAATAGTTGTTTAATAGCGTATAATATGTGCAATTTAGGGGTATTTACAGTGCTTTAGATATTTGTTCACATTTTTGTTCAAAATAAATGTCACAATCAGGACATGACATGTCGTTATAGAC